GCTTTAGAATGATCATTTCTTTTTTAGAGTGATGATAGAGATGAAGATACTCAAAGGTCCAAGCCAAACAATCTTGGATGGTTCTACTCTTAATAAACCCATATTGATTTTGGTGAATCAGGGGAATGATCACCTCCTGTAGCCTGTTGGCTAAAAGCTTAGTGATCAATTTCATGGAGCTGTTTAAAAGGGAGATTGGTCTGAAATCAGAGATAGTTGAGGGACTCTGAGATTTGGCACTAAGGTGATGAAGGAAGAGTTGATACTCTGCAGACAGACTGAGTTATTTTGAAAAGCCCAACAGAGATCATAAAAATCACCCTTAATGAGAGTCCATCATTTTTTGATAAATTCATTAGAAAAGCCATCTGGGTCAGGAGATTTGTCATTAGGCAGGAGCTTGACAACTTGATCAATCTCTTCGGTAGTAAATTTGGTCTCTAAGCAATCTAGACCATTATGAGTCTGTAAAAGATTTTGCAAATCAAAAAGCATTCCTTTGAAATCAGACTGTCCAATCCTTAGTTTGAAAGATTCCCAGATCACAGATTCTTTATCAGCATGAGAGGTGACCATAATTCCATTGTCTGCTGTAAGTTCTGTAATGATGTTTCTTCTGTGCCTGATTGTAGCATTTGCATGAAAAAATTTAGTGCCTGCATCCCCCAAAGTAACCCACTTGATTACTCCTCTTTGCTTCCAATAAATTCTTTGCTGCTCTAGAAGAGAACAATTTTTCATTTAAGATCAATCTGAAGTTCATTCTTCTACGCTTAGATCCCTGTATTCTTCCAGAAATTCAACCAACTGGAGAACTAAGCTGATGTTGGCAATAGAAGATTTCAGATTAGAGAGATTGGCACTCCAGGATCTGAGGGCGCCTCTTAGATTTTTGAACTTATTTGTGATTATTTTAGCTTTTTCATTGAGAAAAGGACTAGATCTCCAGTTCTCAGTAAGGATTTCTTGAAAACCTTCTCTGAGGAGCCAGTAATTTTCAAATCTGAAAATATGTGCCCTTGGAATATTTGTTGAGATAGATATTATCAAGGGGCTATGATCAGAGATTTCCCTGATAAGAGCTCTGCAGATTGTTTCAGGATAAGAAAGAGACCAGCAACTGTTTGTGAAGACCCAGTCAAGTTTTTACAACAGGGGTGGGTTCTGCATGTTAGACCAGGTGTATTTTTTACCTTGAAGAGGAATGTCTGTTAAGCCAATACGGCTTAAAGTGCTAAAGGAATATGTCATTGAGATCAGCTCCTACTCTATTTCTGTTCTCTGGGTATCTGTAAAGATTAAAATCTCCAAGAAATATCCAGTCCTCATCATTGGGAATATCCAGACTTTTCAACCTAGTTGTAAACTCCCGTTTACCTTCAGGGGTGCAAGGTCCGTAAACATTCACTGATGTCCAGGAATTATCATTGTGTTTTGAGGTGAAATCAAGTGCCAAAGCATAACCACAGGAAAACCTGAGAGACCCTGCAAAGAAGATGGACTTCCAGGCAACAAGCAGACCACCTGAGGCTCCAACAGAGGGAACAAAGAGGCGTTCATCAAAGGCTGGTGGGAGAATATTTCTGAGAAAGGCCTGATCAAAATCATCTTTCTTAGTTTCTTGAAAACAGACTATATCACAGTTAGAATTTAGAACTTTGTTCTTCACAGAATACCATTTTCTAGCTGCATTCAAGCCTCTTACATTCCAACACAACACAAGCCAATTTCTGTTTAATGACTGATTCATGATAGAAACAAAGATTTTAGATTTCCTTGAATCTTAAATTTGTCTTCCTTAAAGCTGCCTAGCAAACAGACAATAGAAAAACATTGTTCATAGGCCCAGTCTGACCATACCAACAAATCCAGAAGAAAATATAAGTTCTTATCAAAAGGAACTGAGACACTGACAGTAACATAAAAGAGATACATCACTGGGGCAGCAGGCCAAACAAAAGTTAACATCCAGAAATCTTTAGGTATCATTTTCTCAGCTATCATATTCTCTTATCAGCTTCTAATCTGCCTTCCCTGGGCTTTTCTGCAGATCTTCTGGCCCATCTTCAGAAGGCTACTCCTCACTGTTTCCTTGATTAGTGGGAGCTGAGGAGCATTCAGCTACTATGATTCTTGCTCTTGCAACTGGATAGGGTTTCTTCCTTTTGGCCTGCAATAGATCATCATTGATTTCAGTGTCATTTAGCTTGGAGAATTCATAGGCCAGCTTTTTGATAGCTTCTTTTTTCAAAATTGGTGGGTGAGAAAAACAAGCTAGTCATTTTTTATTTGAGCAGTCATTTGATTTGAAGCCTTTTGCGCAGTCTTTTAATCTAGGGCTTCTTCTTACCTCTGTCTCTACTATTGCAATAGCTCTTTTGTGGTTCCTTTTCTTTTTGTCCGGTGAGGTGCTGCCTTGTTCAGAGTTGGCAGTGTCCAGACCAGTTGCTTCATCACCTGGCAAACAAGAAAAGTCGTTATCTGGGCAGGATAAAGGGACTGAGAACTGTAAGACACCATATCCTTATCTAGGCATCGAAGCTACCCATAACGTAAAGGGTAGACACTCGTGCACGTGTAGGGAGGAGCTAGAGACATGACCGTCTCTGGGGACATCCGAGCGTCAACATGACTGTTCGGGGGTTCGCCTTAGACTTAGCTATATGTCATCTTTAAGATGATATACATGAAAGAAAATCGTTTGGTAAACAAACATAGAAAAAACAGCTCGGAGAAACATCATGGAGATATATGAAGGTTGGAGAATATTTAGAAAAATATTAAAGCATGACTTAGCTTTAGACAAAACGTCTGGTCGGCGGCGTATGGCGTTATCTGGTCGGCGTTGACGGTGAGCACCCGGCGGGCGGTGAGTTTTCGATCTTTTCTGTTATCGACGGCGGCGAGGCCCCCGAAGATAGTGGCGACCACTTTGTCGTGATCCTGGAAGGCGTTATTGTTGTCCCCAGGTGGTCGGCGAGCTTCAGGCCAACCTGATCGATGGATACGATCAGATCATCGTTACCGACCAGCTTCCTCGAGTAGCGGGGCAGCTGGCGGCGAGTTGTTGGTGAGGACGACCTCGGAGGCGGTTCCAAGATCGGATCTGCTGTTGCAGGTGCTGGTGTGGTCGGTGCAGGATCGATCTGCACCGGCTCAATGATCTCTCCGTCTCCGTCAGCATTGATGACCCAGGAGATCGATCCGACCATAAAGATCTGGCCGGGCTCTGGGGAGGACGAAGAGCTTGCAAAACGTACCATCTTGTTCGTTATGGAAACAGCACGTACATCCCTACCTAGCGCGCCAACTGTCAACAAAAGATGCTCGGCAGTCTACCGAGGGGTATACCCACGATGATAGATTTGTCGGTGGGGGTGCGCTTAATCAGGAACCGGATGGTGACACAAGGCGCAGAGACAACGATTTAGACAGGTTCAGGCCGTCTGATCGACGTAATACCCTACGTCCTGTGTCTTTGTTGTATTGTATTAAATATGGGATGCATGTAGATGTCGACTAGGGGACCCATGCCTCTCCTTATATACTCTGGAGGGGTAGGGTTATAAAGAAAATATCATATTTGGTACTATATAATATCTTGCGGTGCACGTCGACCAGTGCCGTGCATGCCTTGATCTTGTGGGCTGGGCCACCTCTGATGATGCGGCTCATGTCTTGTCTTATGGATACCGGGGGTCATATCCCCAAAGCAAGACATCAAGGGCGATATCCTGAAGATACTACGAGATCTGTTAGGATACGTTCGATTTCATGATTCATGTAATCTGTTATTACTTTCTGGTTGTCTCCTAGATCTAACCGACTTATAACCCTGCTCCCGGACTATATAAGGCGGGCAGGAACCCCCTCAAAACACACGTAACATCATACGAAGCAAATACAATCCAACAGACCACAGGAGTAGGGTATTACGTCGCGCTGACGGTCCGAACCTGTTTAACTCTTGTGTCTCTGTTGCATTCTTGTTCTTGATTACACGCATCTCAGCCGATCAATTTACCTTCGTGGGATACGCCTCGGAGGACCGCCGACGATATTCTATCGATACAAATGTTGCACGTATTTTCTACAAATCTAGTCAAGCTTGTGGCAAAAAAAATGGAAACTACATATAATAAGGGACAGAGGAAGTAGTCGATAACAAAATCTATTCAAAGCACAGCTTAACTCCTGCAAGAAGTCAAGGTTTGCACCTTACACGATTCCTTATGTTATTCGATACCGCGCGGTAGTAGCAGAGAGAACAAATTGAGACTCTATGCTCTATATAAAAAATTCAAAGAACGTCATGACACCAGTCACCAGGCCATTGACTCACATTTATAACTCCTCAAATAAGGCAATGTTTAGATCCCACCTAAAATCCAAAAAAATTCAAGATTTCTCGTCATATCAAATCTTGCGGCACATGTATGGAGCATTAAATGTAGATAAAAAGAATAACTAATTGTACAATTTGCCCGTAATTGACGAGATGAATCTTTTAAGCCTAAATAGTCCATAATTGGATAATTTTTACCAAATACAAATGAAAGTGCTACAGTAGCCAAAAAGCCAAAAATTTTCACATCTAAACGGGGCCTAAACAGGCGCACACAAGACAGAAGCAAGACTGCAAGACACGATGTCTACGGAAGAAATGGAATCATGTCGTCGTTGATATGGAAGCTCGAACACCTCTTCTGGCCGGACTAGGCGAACCAAATGAACTGAACTGAACTAGCGGTTGATGCCGGTGTGGGTGGCCAGAGCCCATAGCAGCGTGATGAACTCGCCACCCTGCGCCAACGCCTCCGCGTGGCCCTCTATGTTACGGGAGGGCGCGATGTACACGACCAGCTCGGTCCACAGCTGCGCTAGCAGCTGCCACCCGCGCGCCACATTGGCACCTCCGAAGCCACACTCCTCCAGCAGCTGCCTCCCCAGCTCAGCGCCCATGGTCGCCGCCGCGTCGGGGTCTGGGCCGTCGATGCCCATCACCCGCTCCAGCCTGCCCCCCCGATGCGCTCCTGCACCCCTTCCTGCGTAGGGCGCCATGGAGGTCGCGGGGCCTTGTAGACGTGCTTCGACCCCTCCAGGTCCTCCGGGAGGAGCTCCGGCGCACAGGCCACCAGGTAGGCGCAGTATTTGGACAGTGTCGCGGCAACCGTCTCCTCCGTGCTCCTCCCTGCCCCAGCCGCCGCCTGAGCTGAGTTCTTCATCTCGAAGAGGCAGGTGGCGATGTGCCAGACGAGGATGACCTCGGTGACACTCCTGCTGTCGCAAGCCCACAGGAGCTGCTGGTAGCCACGGCGGTGCAGCACGGCCACCCCATTGCTGAGGGGCTCGCCACCGCCGCCCTTTGCCCTTAGGGAGGCGAACACCGCGTGCTTCACCTCCTTCGGCACGGGCACCGACGGCATCCCGAGGAACCGGTGCTGCAGCAGCTTGGAGGCGATCACCCACGGCGTGTGCTGGCGGAGGTCGAGGATGCACGCCTGGTTGAACCGCATGCCCTTGTGCGGCCGGCCGGCTCGTTTCACCCACAGCAACGCGCAGAAGGCTCTCTGCACCCACCGTGAGGACTGCCACCTGGGCCTACGTGCGTATTCGCACAGCAGGGACACCAGGAGCCAGTCGGAGAGCACGTACACCACGAACTCCCACGCCTCCATGACAAGGAAGGTGAGGAAGAGCAGGAGGCTCACCAGGATGTTGAAGGACGAGAACAAGTCGATGGTGGTCTGGAGCACCTTGTGGCCGAGGCACTTGAAGAGGACGATCGCCCGGCGAGATAGCGTGGCGACGTCTCGGGCGAGGCAGCCGATGACGGGTAGAAGGGCGCCGTTGCCGGTGATGACGAGGGCAATGACGGCCTGGTTCACCACGATGAGGAACACGAAGAAGTAGTTGCCAACAAGGAACCATGGGCTGCAAAGCACCACGGGGACCACTGAGTGGTAGTAATCCATGACGAAATTGAGCTCCAGCTCAATCACGTGGAAGGCCCTCTCCGCAAGCTGCTTGCTGCTGCTGTCGTCGCCATCTCTATCATCGCCATTGGTGCTATCATCAACTCCTTGGCCACCAGCATCATCGTTGTTGCTGAGGCCACGGAAGATGAGGTCGCGGTTCTTCACCGCCACTTCCTCTTCCACTTGAAACTTCTGGAACCTTGCGCGCAGCAGCTTAAAGAGCGCGAAGGCGAGGCAGAGATCCATCAGTGTCGGGTGGTCGGTTAGCAGGCGGTCGGCCGGCTTGCCATCACCGCCTTCCGCCAGCTCCCAAATGTCACCGACGGTGACGAGGTCTTTCTTGTCGTCCAACTCTTGTAGCTTCACTCGGTATCCTTCGGGACCTGCTTGCCTCTTGAGCCTCTCCTCCCCCATGACTGGGTACCAGCACTTCCTCAGAAGCATTGTGCCGGTCTGCTGCTCGCTTCGGATCCCCTCTTCCTCCGTCATCTGAGCGACGTAACCCACGACAAGGTGTGCGTTCTTGCCAACGGCAAAAGAACGCTTGGCAAGCTCCACGGCGGCGACCCTCTGGGCCGCCTTGATGAGGGTGAGCACCCAGAGGATGATGAACCCCGGCTCCAGGATGCCGTGCACATACGAGTAGATGAGATAGCCGATCCACGCGATGCGGACGATCTGGTCGATGGCATCCCAGAGCGTCTGCTGGTGGTGGACTGTGCGCAGCGGGGACGAGCTCATGGCAGTGAGGATGGCATCCAGCTTCTTGCGCAGGAGCTCCACGCTGAGCATCCAGACAAGGATGACCTGGGCACGGAACGGCAGATCTCCGGCACTTAGGCTGTCCAGCTTTTGCACCGCCTTCTGCTTGGCGGCCTCTTCCTTGGCCTGGGAGAACATGTAGGACATGAGGGGGAGGAAGAGGGAGAAGGACGCATAGAGGAAGACGCGGACGGTGGGGTTGAGGGCGGCGCGGCCGGAGAGGCGGCCCAGGAGGCTGAGGCCGACGAGGATGATGCCGAGCACGAACATGACGGCCGCCGTGAGGACCGCGAGGAAGACGGCGGCCCCCGACTCCCTGCCTTGGTAGTACTTCACCACAAACCATTGCTGGGAATAGCTGCTGTTGCAAAACCTGTACGTTGTCGAGTTGATCGAGTAGATATCATCGCAGCCCATCCTTGTATGTTTGTTGAAAACTAACTAATAATAAATATCTTATGTATATAGCGGATGTGACATGCATGTAGTGTACCTATCACAGGCAGCAGGCGATTAAACAAAAGGCCATGTGCACTTTGCTCCAAGTCCAAGCAAGACGACAAGATGCCCGCGCCGAAGTATATCTACTTGTCGTACGTGCTTCACGGATCTTGGGCTTTCCGTGCGTGCTTAATTTGTCTTTGCAGTTCCTCTTCTGGAGAGCCAAGAATGGGATCCTCTCGCTCTTTTCACTTTAACGAAGGCACGATGCGGTGGTCTTTTGATTTGATACAACGCTTGACTATTGTTTTATTAAAAAATTTGTATAATTATAATTGTTTTATCATCGAATAGATTCACTACTACAGAAACGCTCTCCCGAACCGGTTTGGAATAATATTATGATTTGACCAGTGGAAGGCTTCTCAGCAATCTGCATCTTGTTGGCCGAGTCACGGCAATAGAAAATCACGCCCAGCAACCGGTAGGCATTGCTGATGAATTGACGTCGTTAGCCTGGTCCTATAATAATGGTGCGAGCCTATAGTTTCTGAATCCAATGAATTTTCTAATATAATGCAATTTGGGTAAATTGGAGATCAATCAAATACTACGTTTGTTCTAAATTATAAGTCCCTTTGACTTTTTTTTTTCATCAATTTTTTTATACCTAGACATAATATTATATCGAGATGCATAGTAAATTGAATGTACCAAAAAAAATCAAAGCGACTTATAATCTGAAACGAAGAGAGTAGCAAACAGATTAATCAATAAAAATAATTATCAGAAAGGGTTATAGTAATTTTGTGACTATTATATACGAGAAAAAACTACATGAAAAATAATGAACAAGAATCCATGAAATTTCTTATCTGAAACAATTTGGATAAATTAGAGAACAAGCCAATAGCAAACAGAATAACCAATAAAAAGTAATTAACAGAAAATGTCACGGCAGACCACATGGGCTGCGCCCCCAGGGGCGGCCCAGCCCACAAGACGAAGCCTTGAGGGGCACAGCGCCGCTCGGCGCGTCCCGCAAGACACCGGAAAGATATCCTGAAGATACTATGAGATCTGTTAGGATATGTATGATCCCATGATTCCTATAATCTATTATTACTTTCCGGTTATCTTCTAGATCTAACCGACTTGTAACCCTGCCCCCTGGACTATATAAGGCGGGCAGGGACCCCCTCCAAACACACGCAATATCATACGATAGCCAATACAATCCAACAGATCACATGAGTAGGGTATTACGTCGCGCTGACGACCCAAACCTGTCTAACTTGTGTGTCTTTGTTGCCTTCTTGTTCTTGATTACACGCATCTCTGCCGATCAATCTACCTTCGTGGGATATCCCTCGGAGGACTGCCGACGATATTCTATCGACAGAGCCAATCGCCCATATAATGAGGAACTCCCTGAACTTAACCCAAACTTGGGGATCTCATATTTAAACACATTAGGATTGCTTTTGATTTCGAATTCCATCTTCGCTACTGTGCATTTAGTTTCAACAGATCCCACGCGCACCATTCACTGTAGTTCATCTATGGAAGGGAACTTTGCAGTAAAAGTGTTTTCCCCTAATGCTTTCACCTCCCAATTCACATTGCCAGATATGAGCCTCTCAAGTTCAGTACTATTTTTTGGGGGATTTTTCGTTTGTCAGATTTGACAGCAATTTGAGGCAGATTTCTTGAGGGATTTTGGTGCTAGGACATGTGTGATCAAGGCTAGGGTGACCCATAACAAATCCTTCACTCGAGCACCACAAATTTGATGTTTCCCCAAATTTCCCCTTTCACCTTGCGTTCTTCGATTTTCTAAAATTGGAGTTAAAGTCTCAATCTTTTTAGGCATTTTCGGTTGGAGTAGTCTGCACATGATCTGGTGAATCTTTGTTTCGAATATCATGTCAATTGGAGTTGATTTGAATTCTTTTTTAGATTTGGGGTTTAAGCTATTAGCTTTCTGTACCTTGCAGTGATTTCCAGTAGCCACAATTTCCCAGTCCTTTTGGCAGCAGTTGTTGTTTGTTTGAGTTCAGTGTTGTGAGAGCAACAAGTGAGTAGCAGGCTACATGTTCTCTACAGACTTTGGTAGTTCAATTCAACATGCAGGTAGAGCTCGACTTGCAGGGTGTTTGTTAGCTATTCAGTAGCTGCAGCCATGTTCAATATACAGTTTAGACACTAGTAGTTTGCTGAGTTGCTTATTGAGAGGTCAATGACTAAAATAGCAGCTCGGTTGTTCTCTGTAGGTAAGTAGCATCAAGTGGCAGGTAAGCATATTCACAGTTCGGCCATGGGCTTATGTTACTAAAGTAATTTTCTCCTGCTACAATGGTTAGGACTTGAATATTCTTGCAAGCACTTAGTTGATTTGTTTAATCACTGTGAGAGTTGTAGCCTTAATCTTGCTCTATATGAATTAATTTCCTGCTGCTTGTCAAGTTTGCATAAGACTTTGCTCAGTTCGTGTGTAACAACCCTACCAAGGTTTCATCCTTTTTGTTATGTCATTTTGATGCAATAGGGGAACCATCTTTTCAAGCAATCATTAGTCAGTGACTGAAGCTTAATTTATTCTCTTTGCTTGAGAAATGTACTTTGTTGTTCTGCTGCTCAAGTTGGATAGACCAGTTTGCTTGAGCATTGTTTCTTCAGCTGCACCTGAGTTCAGCCAACATTGTTGTTTTCTGTATTTTTAGTAGCAGCTGTGAGCTCTTGCTATTTTCTAGCGCATTGTTCTCTGCAAGTGCAGTACCCATTTTCAGCAACTAGTCCTAAAGCTTGTTCCTTATTAGTTTGGTCGGCAAGTGTGCTTACATTGTATGGCCTCTTGTGTGTTTATCTGTTAGCTGTTTTTTCCAAGTTGCAATTGCACCATAGAAATTCTTGTATCTATATATTAGTTTCCTATGTAATTGTTTGGCGTGCAGGCATGTGTAATTTTGTGGGTGAGGATTTCATTGCTGAGCTTATATGGATAGCATGCAACTATCTATATAAGCTAGCTGCAACCCGCTGCAATTAGAATGCAACTGGTTGCATCAACTATATGCTGTGTCATTCTTTTAAATGGCTGCAGAATGTGGAATTTTTGTAGTCAGTATGTGTCCATAGTTATAATTATCCTATATCCCAAATTGTAACTGAGTATGAAATGGACTAGAAATTGTCTGTAATTGAGTTTGCAATCGATTTAGCTGTACCTAGTTGTAGCGGAGTTTCAACAAACTAGTAGCCACCACTGAGGTTCTGTGATTCAGAGCCTCACTGTTTGATCATATCCAGGGGTATTTTTTTTATGATCCAGTCCATTATATGCCTTAAAAATTTGAGTTGATTGCTCCTGGCTCCCACACCTTCAGCTTGCCGTCGCTCCTCCACGTCCTGCCCCCACGGTTAGATTCGTCTTGCCTCTCACCACCTCTCCATTTAGACATGTGTGTTTTTTGTTCTGACTTTTTGGGTGATTTCGGAGGCAAATCTGAGGATGTGTTCTGTCTGTGTCTCTCTCTCTCTCTCTCGGTGTGTCGTCTCTCTCTCTGTGTCTGTGTTTGTGTTTCTCTCTCTGTGTTTTTTCTGTTTTTGTGTGTGTTTTATTTGTATGCTGCTGTTTTTTTTTCTGTGTGTCTCTCTCTCTTTGTGTGATCTGCTACTGCTGTTTTTGCAGTTGTCGCTGCTTGTTGATGCTGATGATTAACCTACAGTTTAGAGTTGATATTATTTATTTATTTTTATATTTTACTTGTTCAGTTATAGATGTGGTGATTATTTGATTTGTGAGGGAGCTATAGAATGTGTAGTTGAGCTGAGATTTTTTAGATGTTATTTTCAAATTTTCAGAGTTGTTTGCTAGTTTTGATGTGCTTGCTAGCTGCAATCTTTTTACAGGTAAAATATATGCTGGTAGTGAAGTTGTCTGGAGATGTAGCGTTATTCTTTGTTTTTGTTTTTTCTGATTAAGCTCTTGTTGATATTGCTTTTGTTGTATTTGTTGTCTTTTGAGTTTTTTTTTTGTCTCTCTCTCTATCTATCTATCTCTGTGTGTCTCTCTATGTTTCTCTCTTTTGTCTTTGTGTGTGGCTGTGGTTGTAGTGTCTTTGACAGCTGTTGGTGTGTGTGTTTCTAAGTTTGTGTGTGTGTGTGTGTGTCTTTGACAGCTGCTGGTGTGTGTTTCTGTCTCTCTCTCTCTCTGGTTGTGTTTGTCTCTTGATTGTTTATTTAGTTTTGTTGCATTTGTCTTTTGAGTTATGTCTATCTTTCTCTCTGTCTGTGTGTCTCTCCGTCTATCTTTGTGTGTCTTTTTCTCTATCTGTGTGGTTGTTGGTGCACTGTTTTTGACAATTGCTACTGATGATTTTAGTTTTTCAGGTCAACTATATGTTGGTCTTGAAGTTGATTTCTGGAGCTTTTGTTGATTTTTTTTTCTGATTAAGCATTTGTTGCTGCTGCCGATGAAGGTGCTAGAGCTGCTGCTGCTGGATTTTTTTTATTTTGTAGTTTTTTTTAGATATGTATTGCTGTGTTGTTCAGATGTGCTTTTCATTTCATTTCTTTTTCTTTTTCTTTTCCTTTTTTTCTTTTTCTTTTTCTTTTGCCAATAGCTGTCTTTTTTCGAGTTGTGATTTGTCTATTTTAGTTGAGCTGAGTGTATGTTTCTAGCTGCTCTTTAGAGTTGATATATATTTTTTTATATTTGACTTGTTTGTTGAGCTGAGTTTTTTTTAACTATTTTTTCAGAGTTGTTTGCTAGATTTGATGTGTTGCTAGCTCCTTTTTTTCAGTTAAACTATATGCTGGTAGTGAAGTTGTCACCGTGTATGTGTATGTGTGTGTGTGTGTTTTCTATGTGGGTGTGAGGTTTTGTGTGTTTTTGTATTTTGCTTTTTCGTTGCGGTTTTTTTCTTTGGTTGTGCCTAATTTTTTAGTGTTTTTAGCAAGTAAAGGATTGGGGATTCAGTGGTGTAATGTTAAGAGGTCGTGCGACATGAAGATATTGATAGCAATATGGGAGAAGTTCCCATCAGGCAACAATGGTTCTGGGTCTCTTTACTGCACCTCCTAACCGGGAAGATTCATAGGATACTTCTGCTCCTATTTGTACACGTAGTTGATTATAGTCAAGATCTGTGTGTTGGCTTCAATTTGTTCTCTCCTTTTTTGTGCAGTATCTTCCCCTTCTCTTAACTAGAGTTCTGAACCTTATTTACTATTATAGAAAAAAGGCAGGCCAAATCTGCCAGGATCAGGGATAAGTAGCCCGATAAAATCCTAGGTAGTAAGATATGTTCAGCATTTTTCCCATGCATTTTTTTATGCATGTATGCTTGATTGCTGATTTTTTTCCGAAAGGACGGCAAAAGCTTTGCCGCGATTTCTATTAGACGACGAAAGAAAAAAAAAAGGCAAATGCCCAACCATTTTTTTGAACGGAAACTGGGTCCAAAAACCATACAACTCAGGAGAGTATACCACTCGTCCTAGCAACTTTGGTACAACAACTGGACAACTATCACAACTCACATCACTACTTCATCCAACTTGGTCAGAACGACCCAACTAAACAACTCAAATATCAACTAACAAGGACCGAAGAAGACGACGTCCTGCCGAGCGACACCAAATAGTAAGGATCAATCGCGAAACTAGAATGCCTAGCCATGCCCCCAAGGAGGAAACAACGCTAAACGCGCCGACATGGTAGCCCGCCAAGGAAGGTTTTCACCTGCAACATCCAATATGGTAGGAGAAGAGGTAGGAAAGGACGCCTTCAAGAAGGGAACGACGTCCGCAGACGTCGTCGTCCACGCTTTCGCCCCCACCTCAAACCACCTCCACACTGTCGCTGCCAGAGGCCCAACCCCAGGGTGCGGCGCCTAGATGCCGCCCCTAGGGACGCCGACCAGGAGAAGCGTCGGGGAACCCCCGGAGAGTCCGCCCCCCACCGCAACTGGCAATGCCAGCCAGCAGCAGGCAGAACCGGCCAGCTCCACCATGAAAACCAGCTCGGGGAAGGGGAAAGGCAGATGGCAGGGAAAAGAGGGTCGGGATCAGAAGAAGCCCCAGTCGCCCAACCCACCAACGTCCCCACCCCCTGCCGAGCCGGCCCCGCAACAATCACGTCGCGCAACACCTCTAGCAGCCTCTGCGCCGAACTGCCGCCGTCACACCCACTCCCCAGCCCTCCGTGGATCTCGGTGAAACCACATCACTGGCACTGGGCGAGGAAGACGCAGGATGACGCAATGGGAGTGCCAAGCACCAAGCGCCTGCGGCCCCAACCACCGGTGCCGTTCCCAGCACCCAGGCTGGAGCTGCCGCCACGGACGCATGGGCTGCCCGTCGTATCCGGCAAAGAAACCACCGGTTCCAGCCAGCAGGCCACCGGATCCGGCCCCAAGCCGCCGGATCGAGAGGGGATCCATGCTGCCCACTCCGCCATGCTTCACAACCGCCGGCCCCAAGGACACCGAATCCGCCCCCAGCACCCCGAATCCGCCGACCTGAGCACTGTAGCAGGCGCCTCAGCTAGCCAGCGTCAAAGGGGATCTGGCCGCCATCACCGCAGCACGCTAGAGCCCAGGCCAGGCACCGTCCAGATCCAGTCGCCGCGGGATCTAGCCGAGACCAGCCAGTAGCCCGGCCAAAGCGGCCATGCCCGACCAGAGCCAGAGCAAGGGAGGGAGGAGGCAGTTGGAGAGGGCGTGGGCATGCTCGGCCGCCGAGCACTCTGGCCACCCGCGCCGATCCGACCACCGGACCCCGGAGCAGGCCCGGTCACGCTGCTCGACGCAGCCCGCCGGGATGGGAAAGGAGGGAGGAAGGAGAGTGATGGGTGAGGAGGAGAGCGAGATTGCCGCTCCGCCGCCCTCCTCGCTGCTCGCCAAGCCTCCGGCCGACAGCTCCGGCGGCGGCGCAGGCGCCGCTAGGGTTGCGGGGATGCGGGTGCGAGGGCTGGGAGAGCCGCCCGAGCCACCCGTCGGGACGACGCGGGGGCCTTTCTGGCTTTGTGACCTCCTCTTGATTGCTGATTTTGTCATCAATGTTTTTCAGGTGATTGTTGAGAAAGCTGGCAAGACTGATGTCCCTGAAATCGATAAGAAGTAAGTTGTCATCTAGATATCTCCTATGTTCTTCTGGTAGTTTGTTGATATGTTTGCTTAAAATCTCTTTGTGTGCAACCATAATCTGCATGCTGGTCATATTTAGAAGATATACCATGGTGAAGCAAGCCTGTGTTTTTCCATGTCTCTTGATTGAGTTCTTAAAAACATGACTAATGTGCAACTTTCTGTTCTGGGATCTTGCAGCAGCTTGACTATGCCCTGGTTGAATGCCAGGCCTTGGTCCTTGCTCCCACCCGTGAGCTTGCTTAGTGAATTGAGAAAGTCATGCGCGCGCTTGGTTGCAGGCTGCAGCACAGCTTGGTCGCTGTCCGTACGATGTCCCGCCGCTCCCAACGGCTCGGCACGGTCAGCACACCCACGAGCAGGCCGAGCTCCGGCGGCGGCGGCGGGGACGGCGGAGACCTTCTCCTCGTCGGCGTCCGACACAATGAAGTAGTAGCCGCCGTTGTCGGTGCCCGCGCCGCGGCAGAGCATGCCGAGGCCCTAGGAACGGGCGTGGGAGGAGCTGAGGCTCTTGAGCGCCAGCAGCAGAGCGAGGAGGCCCAGCGGCACCACGAGGAGGTACGGCGTGCAGAGCGAGGCAGCGTGGAGCCTGTGCGAACGAAGTGGTTGACTGTTATTGGGTTTTGGATCTTTGTGCTATTGCTAATGGGTATTGCAAATCTGACAGATTTTTTGTATTGCAAATCTGTCTCAGTTTTTTTGTTGGTGACGTGTTAGCTGTTGATTTGTCTAAAAGTTGACAGATTTCTGGTTGCAAAATCTGTCGCCAGATGTATAGACTGACCCAAAAAACACTCATACAATAATAATCACATGACTCAATAGATAGACAGTAGAGACAGGGAGCGAGATACACGAGGACGACGATAATACGATCTCGGAGAGTAAGAATCAAGAGTTAAAATGTTTGAGAGAATGTATATATCACTCTATTTACGTTCTTGGGGAGCTATTACAGTAGAAAACCAAAAATATATATGATTTGTATATCACTCTATTTACGTTATTGGGAAACTACAGTAGAAAACCAAAAATATATATGATGCAGTCCTGTGTGTCTACAAATAAGTAGGGCACATAATGCATATTGCGAAGTAGAAAATATTAGGTGTTCTAAAGATACCAGCAACACGCTGGCAGCTTATCTATGCCTTGAAGGGCTTCACTTTTCTTCAGACACGCCACCAGTGACATCAGCAACATCCTCTCCCTTCCTCGACTACCTCCTGTTTCAGCCATCTCTGTGTGGCTCCTCTTTTGCCCTCTCTTTTGCCGTCTCTTGGCCTTTGCTTCATATAAGACCTGAAGAAAAATATCTTCCGATTTAGCGAAACCCCTGTAGGCACGAAGGTTGTCCTTTATCATAGCAGCCAACTCATAATCAACCTCAACCTTTTTACGTGCATCACCTGCTGCAGCATCTTTAGCCACTATCTTCTGCATCTCATTAGGAGTGAACCACGGCTCACCAGCAGTGGTGAACCACTGTATCAAATCCCAAAGAAAAAATTATTTTATCAAAACCACTAATTGATACAATTCAGAACAGTTTGTTGCTAATAATAATCCATACAGATCATGCAGACAAAAGTAAACTACCTTGGATGAATCCCATTCTTTAACCAACCAAGGGGTCATAATCTTTGCCATAACTTCTACATAGCGAGAGTTATCCTTGATCATTCACTAATACCAGGAACCAGCTTGTCACATGCCTTACGCATCTCAGTGCAACGACACACTCTCAGTTCCTCAACTAGTTGCAATGAACCTGCATAGGCTACAAAGTCTCTATCAACTTAAATAAACATCATCAAAAGAAGCATTACATCATCAAAAGAAGCAACGACACGCTTTTTGTCATCGCGTGTGGACACACCTTTACTAGTGCATCTACCTATTTGTATCTCCCTGCCGTAGCCTGCACGAGGGCATCGTGCAATGCTTGCTGCTTGCTAGCTCCATTTGGGCACTTCATTTACTCTCTGACCGTGACTGCTGATTGATCATCAATCGGGAAAGAGACCAATGTGAAGAGCCAGTGGTATTCTTTTTTAATATAATTTTGGTCGGTTAACATAGTTTGACTTAGGGAAAATATAGATTCTCTTTCATTTGAGTAGAGTTAATTCAACACGTGGCACGGATCTGCAAAATTGAAAATCCTGAACTGCAAATACGGAGTACTATTGAAACGTTGCTCTTGCATCGAAGTTAGTACTAGTAGTAGACTAGTAGAGCAAGTCGGCACAGCAACACACGGCGCACACACTTGAAACACGGTCCAGTTCGAGAATCCCTGCTTGTGTCGACCGGCCGCCGGAATGAGCCGCGGCAGCATCGCTGCCTTGGCCTCGTACAGGCCGCCATGTCGGTGGACATCTTCTCGTGCCCGATCCCGCCGGCCGATGGTGGCAGTGACGAGGTGCACCTCTCCGACGGCGTCTCTTACAACCACAACGGCCGGCCCATCCCGGCGGCGGCTCTCAGGGTGCTCATCGCCAAGAAACCCGAGCTCGCCGCCGAGTGTGGCGCCACCGCCGCCGACGTGGACACGGGCCGCGCCACCGGCCTCGTGTTCGTCTCGGAGAGGGAGGAGGGCCTGGAGACGCTGCACGTGGCTCTGCGCTTCGACGGCAAGGTGAAGGTACTGAGCCTGGCCGACGCCTTCGGCGGCGTGCGCATGGAGGACAGCGGCTGTTTCGGCGGCGGCTTGGCTCCCGACGCCGCCGCCAACCCATGCATCGTCTACGTCTCCACCAAGAAGCCGGTGGAGAAGCGGCGCATCCCCTGGACGGTGGTGTACCGGACCAACCTCAGGACCGGCGAGATGGATCGGAGACGCTTACTCCAGACGGGGAGTACGATCTGAGCCCGGCCGTGTCCGCCGTCGGGGAAGAGGGTGGCCGTGGCCAACTTCAGCGACAACAGATGGAGCGGCGAGATCGAGCACCTCCAGACCGACATCGTTCTGATGAACGTTGACCGGAACGCGCAGGGCGGCAAGCCGCTGGACGACCGGGCAAGGTGCATCCAGGACGCCGGCTGGCCATCGTGGGGCAGCGACAACGTCATCTTCTTCCACGGGGCGGTCGGTGGACAAGAGAGACGACCCCAAGAATAGCGACAGGCTCACGCCGCACTGGGGCGTGTACTGCTACGACATCGCCGCCGGGCGCACCGAGCGCGTCACGCCATGACTCCGGCGGCCATCAGCGAGTCCAAGGTGGCCGTGGCCACCATCCGCCAGAGAACCAACCAGATGGGCGGCGCGCGCGACGCGGACATGTTCCGCCACGTCGAGCTTTTCGACCTCACCGCCCCCAGCGACCAGCCACCTGTGAAGGTCACCCAGGTCGTGTGGCCCCTAGGCCGACCACTACAACCCCTTCGTGCTCCATGGCGGCACCTGCATCGGCTACCACCGCGCCACAACCGGAGGAGGTAATCGATGATCATCATCACGATTCAGTAATCAGTAGGATTTTTTTTAAAATAATATTTTGTTAATGAATAATTGCAAATCTAGTAGCTGTTATAGAAAAATTATAGCTGTAGCATCCTGTCGGCCACCTTGTTGGCTATTGGATGTCCGACAAGCCCCCCCAAGCCTCTACGTGTACACCGCGTCGGTGAAGCCGTACTACCTGAAGGAGGCACCTTTGGCAGCCAACACCGTGCTGTGCTGTTGGACGTGAGCAGCTCATCTTCCACGGCAGGAAGGGCGGCGCTGGACCTGGTCGAATTTTGGCACCTTCTTATTCGTAACAAAATCTCTGTAGGGGCTAAGGCCCCTCTAGTTTTCTAAAAAAACAAAAAAAAAACGGCGGAGCCACCAGACAGTCCCCACTACGCGCCATGTCCGAGGACGCCGCCGTCCCCGTCCTCACGGACATCGTCTACGGCCTTGTCGCCAGAGGAGGGACGGCTGGCCTTAAGTGAGTCTACTGTTGGGACATTGTAACCACACCGTCCAACGTGCACGCCGCAGCAGAGAGCAGAATATAGCCTTTTAGGAACATTTTGTCTGCCGAGACTAGTGTACTCCAAAGCATGTTGGTTGTCAACTTGGCATTATCCGTTTCTATATGCTAGCATGGACATGAACTCCGTCACCAAGTTCTGAGCGTCAAGCTAAGCAAGGATGGTGTTTGGATCATCAAAATTGGAGCCCGAATGAAGAAAAGGAGATTTCGGACATAGACTGCCACAATCGGCCTAACCGGGTTTCCCAAAGAGTGCTCGAGCCTCAAGATTAACATCTCAAAAACAGAAATTTATCCGATCAGACTAGATAACGCTGCGGTACCTCATCTACTCCAAAATTTCCGCGGAAAAATCTGTAAATTCCCAGGGAAGTACCTGGGACTTCCCTTTCATATCCGGAAGCTCCGGAAGATAGAGGTACAACCTTTGTTAGACAAAATAGGAGCAAGGTTACCTGGGTGGAAAGGAAAGCTACTGTCCGTGTCGGGAAGAGAAACCTTGGTCAAAATTGTGCTATCCTCGCAGCCAATATACCACATGATTGTCTTCCCCAAACAGAAATAATGGCTTATACGAAAGATCGACCGATTAAGGAGGAGCTTCCTCTGGAGAGGAGAGACGCTGGATAAGGTGTATGGGGGGCACTCTCTAGTAAATTGGCCAACTTCATGCCTTCCAAAGAGCAAGGGCGGGTTGGGGATACTAGAGCTTGAATGCTTCACAAGGGCGCTGAGGTTGAGATGGCTGTGGTTTCAATGGAAACACAAAGACCGTGCATGGAACGCACTGGAGCTCCCATGTGATTGGCGCGATCGTGAACTCTTTGCAGCTTCAACGGAGGTCACTATCGGTGACGGCAAGACGGCCAGGTTTTGGACGTCGTCATGGGTCAATAGGAAAACTCTGAAAAGTATGGCGCCAACACTCTTCCTCAAATCAAAAAGGAAAAAATTAACAGCTCAGATGGCGCTACATGAAAACAGATGGATTAAACACTTACTTCCACTTCAAACCAGTCAAGAGATACGGGAATATGTTGCACTGTGGGAACAAGTAGACAACGTTCAACTACAAGAGGGCACGGAAGACACAAACACAATACGATGGCGATGGACGTCAGATGGAGACTATACAACTAAAAGCGCCTACCAAATCCAATTCGAAGGTAGTTACAGCAAGTTAAGGCTTACGCCAATCTGGAAAGCACAAACAGAGCCTAAATGTCGTTTTTTCGCGTGGACACTACTACACAAGAAAATACTTACTGCTAACAATCTGATAAAGATGAATTGGCCAAACGACCCGACTTGCAAACTATGTGGAATTGATCCGGAGACGCCGACCCACCTTTGCAAAGACTGTCCATATTCAAAACAAGTCTGGTCCCAATTGAAAAGCTGGCTGCAACTCTCGGTTCTTGATTCAGTGCCAATGACAGGATCAATTCACAGGTATTGGAGAAAATGCAGGGTCAAATTCGACAAACGACAGAGGAAAACATTTGACGGGACCATAATCTATTTCTGGTGGAACATATGGAAGGAGCGGAATAGAAGAACATTCCAAAAAAAAGCTTACAAGCAAATCAGGTAGCAAGTCTGTGTAAGGATGATATACACCGTTACCGATTCGCGACAAGACCGGCGACCCAACAAGAGTAGAGAGAGTAGTTATAGGTGCCTAGCTGTTTTAGTTTCATGTCCTCTTCTAGTTGTTCTGAAGCTGAGTAGTATTTCTTGCTGTATGAGCAGTAGTATTCGTTGTCCTAATAGTAGTAGTAGTCGGTTCAGTAGTATAGTCATCTTTTTTTTACCCTTTGTACTCTCTGCCTTTTTCTTTTTATCCGTCTAATAAAAATCAGCAAAACTCTTGCCACCTTTTTAAAAAAAATTGCAAAACTCTTGCATAAGCCGGAATAAAATCTTTTTTGTTCTAAAAATATATATTTGTCTAACACATATTTAACACATATGTTAATCAAAACCATAAAGGAGGGGCCATGTTAGCTTCATCGTCAAACAAAACGTCATTTTTGTTTGACATCACATGATCCATCCGTGTACAATACTGCTATTCAGGTCCTTCTACCATTTCACATTTTTCTTCAAAACCGAAACCATTTTACATCCCAATAATTAAAGGGCGATTCGAAACCTAAAACATGTCACCGATCAACCGATTTCCCATGACCGCGACGATCAGGCAGATGCATTACACAAACGACCAGTTGACGAACATGAAGCAGATGCAGTGCGCGCCGCTGTCGTCGTCGAGCACCTTCCACGCCAACGCCTTCTCGTATGACACCGGCCGGCCCAGGCCCGACACGCACAGCCCGCCGGGGATGCACGTGAACCCCTGCCCCATGATGCCGGGGACCTCCGCGCACAGGTTCTTCCTCCCTTGGTCATCGAACACTTTCTCCAGGGTGATGTCCTGGAGAGCCACCAGGGTTGTCTCCAGCATGTCGAGGCCGGACTGGTTCGCGAACGTGAACACTGGCAAGGCCTGCATGCATGGAAATGTTGAGCTGTCACCGTGCCCTCACTTTCAGACATAAGTATCCCAGATTGGTGAAAGTTTCACTCCACAAGCAACGTTTTAGTATGTTATCTGAAATTCAGAGACCAGTTTCTGTGAAATACTAGTTTTAAGATAAGTTCTGAATTCTAATGCTGTCCGCAGATGGGAGGGACAGAGTATAATTCTCAACTTGCAACATCAAAACAATTTTCAGATGCAATAGGGCAAACCTTCAAAGAGCAGCAGAGTATAGCACTAGCATGATGCCAAAGGGTTTTTAGCACTGCTTCACAGCCGCTACCGTCTGCGGATTTGATAAGCTCAGCCCCAAAATGAAATCTGTACAAGCAAGCAGCATCAGCATAAATCCAAGTATTTGGAACGCAAACTAGCTAATCAGGGTACATACAGACCACAGACCTGTAACTCTGGCAGATCCATCTGGCAAGCGTGGTTGCCTCCGGACTAGCAGGAGTGTGACTGATGCTGCTCCCATGAGGAACGAGGCGTGAGGAGGAGAGCGCCAACGCGATCCTCTGAACTGACGCGATGATGCTTCGCATATACTGTCTCGCCATGGCTGCAACACTGTCCTGCAGATGGATCTCGAAGGCAAACTGAAACACGATGGTCATCACAGCCTTTGAGCCTGCAGAACCAGCATTTCCAGGACCGCTGCCATTTATCCTGCTTCTGGGAGTTCCAACTTCAAGGGTAGAGGCAAGGTCCAACGTGCACTTGGGGCTGGATGTGTCCTGACATGTATTTGCAGGGTAAACAAATCAAGTAAAGTTCATCGGTAGTTGAATCTGAAATGCTACAGGCTCTTTGAGTGGTGTAGACTTACGAGAGGAGCGTCGATCGGAATGATGCGGAAGCCAGATGGGAGCAGTGGGGAGTCATCGCTGAATGATGCATCTATAGGGGCAAAGATGAGTTCTGAACAAGTGCCTACCATGTTCTCGTCTACCCCATTGTACATCTGCCAATTCAGTGGAGAACACAACTTATACAGAGATCAGACTTTACAACTCAAGCTATCTTGTTCATGGTGAAATTAGAGTCAATGACAGTCACAGATGTATAAGTGAAACTAAAAGTTACCTGCAACAGAAACAGATCACGGTGCAGGAGTGCGTCTTGATAATTACTGTCATTTCCTAATTTTATAACCTCGAGGAACTGACATAAGAAATTAAGCAATTAACACATTAAACAAAAGAGATTTGTTAAATTGGAGATACTAGTTGCACGTAACAGTAGAATAGGAGCTTACTTCTTCAGGGTCAAACGTGTGGGCTAAAGGAAGTATGACCTGACCACTAAATCCTCCAAGGCGAGACATAGGCAAATTGCAGAAAT